AAAACCTCCCCAAAAAAAAAAAAAATATTTTGGATGGTGAGCAGGTGGCATAGACAGTAAGGCAGCTGAATCCCACATGGTCAACTGTGCAGTTCAAGTCCCAGAACTGGGCAGCTTGAAAATCACAGCGACCACCTGTGTGTACATGCCCAAAATCCCACAAGGAAAATCTCTGGTGTATGCATATGCCCTATAGCAAAAACTAAAAAAGAAAAACTTTTTTTTTTGTTTGATGAAAACTCAAAAAGAATAGCTGCTAAGATGCTTCCTTAGAATTCGGTAATGTTTGCCATCTTTATACTTTCAGAAAAGAGGATACCAAACTTAAGAATCAAACAAACCTGAATTAAATTCCAGCTCTCCAATTGAGTATTCTACATTAATTTGGCCCAGTCACAATCTGTGAGTTTACATTTACCATCATCCCTTCACAGGGCTAAACGTAAGAAATATCTGTAAGTGGCCATCCCCCCGGGGGGGGTGATTTCTCGCTTTCTGTCTTTCTGGCAAATGCATGTGCCCTATAGCAAAAACCTCTCCAAAAAAAAAAAAATATTTTGGATGGTGAGCAGGTGGCATAGACAGTAAGGCAGCTGAATCCCACATGGTCAACTGTGCGGTTCAAGTCCCAGAACTGGGCAGCTTGAAAATCACAGCGACCACCTGTGTGTACATGCCCAAAATCCCACAAGGAAAATCTCTGGTGTATGCATATGCCCTATAGCAAAAACTAAAAAAGAAAAACTTTTTTTTTTGTTTGATGAAAACTCAAAAAGAATAGCTGCTAAGATGCTTCCTTAGAATTCGGTAATGTTTGCCATCTTTATACTTTCAGAAAAGAAACTTAAGAATCAAACAAACCTGAATTAAATTCCAGCTCTCCAATTGAGTATTCTACATTAATTTGGCCCAGTCACAATCTGTGAGTTTACATTTACCATCATCCCTTCACAGGGCTAAACGTAAGAAATATCTGTAAAGCTCCTGACACGAGACCAGGAGCAGAGCTGGCACACGGCAGCTGTACCCCAACAACCATGTGCTTGAAGCCGGTCAGTAAGCAGTATTTCGTTTGTCTCCAGTCTCCATTTCACTGAAGCTCTAGAGTATAGATTTTTTACTTTCTTTTATTTACTCACTCAACAGACAATTATTAGGACCTACTACCTGTTGAGCATTGTCTAGGAGCTAGGGAAACAGTGCTGAATGACAATCGACTGACACCCCACGCCCCCGCCCCGGGGAAAGGCCATGCCACCATCCCTTCTCTATTCTCGTCGTGGGATTTTGGACAGGCACACATGCCCATGCTCCTGGTGCTTTTTGGTTTTTGTTTTTTGTTTTTCAAGTCACTGGGTCTGGGACTCGAATCACAGAGTTGGCCATGTAGGATCCATGCCACCTGGCCAGCCCCAGAGCCACCTAGAATACAGAACCTCCTCTGAGTTGGCAGTCTGTGAAATAGCCCAGGCACAGTTCATAACTGAATTCCTCTGATGGCCCACCTCTTTAATTGTTTCATGTGTGTCCTTACATCACCCTATCCTCTGTTTTAGCGAGCTCCATCCCTGTTCTTTGCTACCAAAGAACCTGACCAAAACACCGTCCATTCAAGTAGAAGAATTCAGATCTGACTTTTCTCCTCCCACCTACTAGTAGCAGAACCCATAGGTTTCTCTCAATCAGCAAAAAGAATCCTGGTAGCTCTGGGATCTTGTCAAAGAGGAAAACTTGAATTTTTTTTTTAAATTATTTTATTTATTTAATTTTATTTATTTTAATTTGACCACAGAGGGACAAAGTGAGAGAAAGAAAGAGAGAGGAAAAGTGAGAAAGCAAGCCACCAGGTCCAGGACTCAAACTGCAGTTGGCCATGTAGAAGTCCAACACCCTTAACCACCACACCACCTGCCAGCCTCAGAGACTTGAAACTTTCTATAAGGCAGCTCTTCAAAAGGCTACATGAGGGGCCGGCAGTCGCATGGTGGTTAAGGACACTGGACTCCCACATGGCCAACCATGGTTCAAGTCCTAGACCTGGTGGCTTCCTTTCTCACTTACTTTCTCTCTCTCTCTCTCTCTCTCTCTCTCTCTCTCTCTCTCT